TATGGTTGATTAAACCATTGACCACTGGTAATCAACTTAACCTTCAACCCCACTCCCCTCCCCAGAGGTTAGGAGGTGGGGCTGAGGGTAAACCCTCTAAGCCTGCCTTGGTCTTCCTGGTGACCAGCCCCATCCTAAGCTACCTAAGGCTGCCAGCCATCAATCAATCATTAGCATACAAAAAGACATCACTTTGGAAATTCTAAGGATTTTAGGAGTTGTCTGCCAGGAAAGGGGTAGAAGACCAAATATATACTTTGCAATATCACATGTATCCATACAATGGAATATTACTCAGCTGTAAACAGGAATGAAGTACTGCTACATGCTACAACATGGACGAACTTTGAAAACATTACACTAAATGAAAAGTCAGACACAAAAGGTCACATACTGTTTAACTCCATTTACATGAAATAATAGGGATAGGTAAATCCATAGGGACAGAAAGCAGATTCGTGTTTATCAGGGGCGGGGGAGAGGGAATTGAAAAGAAACTGCCCAACGGACATAGGATTTTATTTTGGGGTGATGAAAAGTCTTGGAACTAGATGGAGGTGAAGGTTGCATAAGACTGTGAATGTATTCAATACCGCTAAAATGCTCGTTTTCAATTGGTTAAATTTATGTTGTAGGAATGTTGCCTCAATTACAAATATATAGGTTGAGGGTTAAACTGGATGGACTTTAAGGCCACTCTGTCCCGAGAGCCAACAGCATGGGACACTGGCCATGCTGACCAGTTTGAGACAGCCCACCAGCTTATTCCTAGTTCTCTGGGATCTAAAAGCAGCCAGCACTGCTCTCCTGCCAGAGTCACAGCTCTGAGAATGTTCCACCTGCAGAGAAGACCTGGTACGCTGGCAGGGACCTCGGCTTCATTCCTTCCTGTGTGACTCTGAGCAAGTGACTTAGCCTCCCTGTGTCCTTTTTGGTGTAGGAATCACAGTAGATGCCGGGATGCTCGAAGCATGCAAGGTGGCCTGCTCATAAGTGGCATTGCACCCTGAATTCAGAAGCTCTACTGAACAAGAGCTTTGGGGGAGTAAGACCCCAAACTCACAGTAGCCTAGTTGCCTCTCCAGTCTTGCGTCCTGTCGGTTGAACCCTCGCTCCCCTCTGCCATACTGGCCTCCTGCTGATCCTCAACATTCCAATGCCTGTCCTACCTCTGGACCTTCTCCATACTCTTCTGTCCTCCTGGAGCATTCTTGCCCCCACCTTTTCTGAACCTTCAGGTCTCAGCCTAATCATCACTTCCGAGAGTGGCTTCCCCTTGGAGAAGAACTTTCCTGGTGGGAGGACATCCCTCACAAAACCCGCCACCTTCCTTCCACCTCCAACCCAGTTACTCTGCCTCCCAGTACCTTTCCCTTCCTTTCAGAGTGCCAACATAGTCTGTCACTACTTCTATTTACTTCTATGCTGACCTATTTATATCTGTTTCTCCACCAGGGGCACAACTTCATGAGGGCAGGGACTGTATCTGTCTTGTTCTTCACTGAATCCCCAGAACCTTGGACAGGGTCTGGTAGATAGGGGACAATCAGTGAACACGTGGGTGAAAGGATGAATGGAGAGACAGATGGAAGAATAGAGGGAGGATGGAAGAATGGATGGATGGATAGATGGACAGAAAGATGGAGGGATGCAGGTGTGGAAGGATGGATAGATAGATGGATGGGTGGATGGATGGATGGGTGGGTGGATGGATGGACGTACAGCAGGATGGAGGCAGGGATGGATGGATGGAGGGATGCAGGGATGGAGGGATAGAGAAATGAATGAATGGACAGATGGACAGGGGGATGGGTAGATGCAAAGATGGAGGGATAGAGAGATGGATGGATGGATGGTTGCAGGAATGGACAGAGGGAGGGAGGGAGGGATGAATGGATGAATGGATGCAGGATGGAGGGATAGAGAGATGGATGGACAGATGGATGGATGGACAGAGGGATACAGGGATGGAAGGATGGAGGGATGGATGGAAGGACAGCAAGATGGAGGGAGGGAAGGATGGATAGATGAATGCAGGGACAGAGGGATAGAGGGATGGCTGGATGGATGGATGGATGGATGCAGGGATGAAGGGATAGAGATGGATGGATAGATGGATGGATGGGTAGATGAATGGATGGATGGATGGACAGCAGGATGGAGGGAGGGATGGATGGATAGATGAATGCAGGGATGGAGGGATAGAGGGATGGCTGGCTGGCTGGCTGGATGGATGCAGGGATGGAGGGATAGAGATGGATGAATGGATGGGTGGATGAACGTATGGATGGATAGATGCAGGGATGGGGGATAGAGGGATGGCTGGCTGGCTGGATGGATGGATGCAGGGATGGAGGGATAGAGATGGATGAATAGATTAACGGATGGGTGGATGGATGGATGAATGGATGAATACAGGGATGTAGGGATGGAGATGGTTAAATGGATGGATGGATAGATGGGTGGATGCATGGATGGGTGGATGGATAATAGCATCACCATGGTGGTAACCTCTCACATTGTCTTCTCCTCCACAGGAGGCATCTGACTCGGTATAATGATGAAGATCCCGTGGGGCAGCGTCCCAGTACTGATGTTGCTCCTGCTTCTGGGCCTGCTTGATGTCTCCTGGGCCCAGGGCAGCTGCACCGGGCACCCAGCCATCCCTGGCATCCCGGGTATCCCTGGGGTGCCTGGCTCTGACGGCCAACCTGGGACCCCAGGGATAAAAGGAGAGAAAGGTACCATGGGCTTTAGGGACACACTAGTAATACTGACCAAGTTCCCATCTCCTGCGTCCCAAGTCACAGTTGCCTAACTGAGACCGCAAAAGCACTGGCAGATCCAGCAGCTTGCTGAACGCTTGCAGTACCTTTGCAGGGAGGGAATTCTGATTCCCATTTGACCGGCAGGAAAACTGGCATCCAAAAAGACTACTGACTTATTCAAGGTAGCTCGGTAAATGTTGAGGCTGAGACCAGACCAATTTAATGGTCTTACCATTAAATTCAGGTGGAGAAAGTGCCGCTGTTCCCACACAATCCTGGTATTAAACTTTACCTCCTGGGCAAGTGACCTCTCTGAATCGCTATTTCCTCACCTGTAAAATGGGGACAACAATACTTTTGTGGGGTTGTCATAGGGTTCAAATGAGACTCCCTACCGTGAAAACTCCTCTGTAAATTGTGGTTTATTCATTCATTTAACCTAAGGTTATAAAGCAACTCTCTGTGCCAGTCACTTTCCTCACATAACCTTGTCTAATCCGCACAATCCCACAAAACATCTTCATCCCCATTTGACATATGAGGAGGCTGAGCCTCAGGAAATGTGACTCAGCCAAGGTGACACCTCTACAAATGGCAGATGTGACACGCAAAGCACACCTGTCTGTCCCCAGAGCCCATGTTCTCAGGCCCTAGTCTCTGCCACTCTACTGGAAAATCGGTTTTATCTTGTGTTGTGCCAAACCAAGGGATAGTGGCTGCTAAGGGGGTGGGGATGGAGTGAGAAAGATGCTGAAGTCCATTTCCAGGAGCAGCAATAGCGAAGGCCATGATTAATTAGGGATGCCTCCCAGAGGTAAGGGGTGGAGAGGGACAGCACTTATTACCCCTGCTCTAGCCTGAACAAGAACCCCCATGCAAGCTGGGGAGGAGGGCCAGCCTAGCACCTTCCTCAGCGAGCAGTCGTTCCCCTCGCACCAGCCGTCAGTCCCCATGAAGTTCAAGCATATCACGGACTCAGGAAGCTGGGCTGAAGGGAGACCCAGAGCCCTTCTCTGACACTGCCTTCTTTGTTTTATAAATGGGAGGCTGAGGCCCAGAGAGGGGCAGGGCCCTGCCCAAGGCCCCAGCATGCACCTTTTTCTTTTGGTCTCAGTGATCTCATCTCTTTGGTCTCTGCTTTTCCAGGGCTTCCAGGGCTGGCTGGAGACCATGGTGAGTTTGGAGAGAAAGGAGATCCAGGGATTCCTGGGAATCCAGGAAAAGTCGGCCCCAAGGGCCCCGTTGGCCCTAAAGGTGGCCCTGGGGCCCCTGGAGCCCCGGGCCCCAAAGGTGAATCGGGAGACTACAAGGCCACCCAGAAAATCGCCTTCTCTGCCACAAGAACCATCAATGCCCCACTGCGCCGGGACCAGACAGTCCGCTTCGACCACGTGATCACCAACGTGAACAACAATTATGAGCCCCGCAGTGGCAAGTTCACCTGCAAGGTGTCCGGCCTCTACTACTTCACCTACCACGCCAGCTCTCGAGGAAACCTGTGCTTGAACCTCATGCGTGGCCGGGAGCGCGCACAGAAGGTGGTCACCTTCTGCGACTACACGTACAACACCTACCAGGTCACCACCGGTGGCCTGGTCCTCAAGCTGGAGCAGGGGGAGAACGTCTTCCTGCAAGCCACCGACAAGAACTCGCTAGTGGGCTTAGACGGTGCCAACAGCATCTTCTCCGGGTTCCTTCTCTTTCCAGATGTGGAAGCCTGACCTGTGACCTTCACACCCACCCCGGCTCACCCCGCCAGCAACGCGCACTCTACCCCCAGCCCCACCCCTTGCCCAGCCAATGCACACAGTAGGGCTTGGTGAATGTTGCTGAGTGAATGAGTAAATAAACTTTTCAAGGCCAAGGGACAGTGGTCTAATTCTACTCTGCATCCCAGCACCTGGCACACCATAAGTGCCAGGCTCAGAGTGTTGGTTACATGAATGAATGAATGAAGGCCTCTGTCCAAGTCCTGCTCTATGCCAGCCACACAGTGGGAGGCAGGGGTCGAACATCCACTATGCTCCCAGCAGTAGGGTACACCTTTTCCTGATTCTCCTGTTAATCCTCACTCTCTTCCTGGAAGAGAGGGCGCATTGTGCCCAGCTTACAGAAGAGCAGACGTCCATGCACCTGCCTGCTTGTCTCAGGAGCTGCCATCAGGATGCCTGGCTCCTCTGCAGGACCAACCCTCCTCTTACCCCTGACCCATAAACCCTGACCCTGCTTCCTGTCCTCCACCAGATCCCTGTCCCCCCACAGTCAGGACACTCATAACAGTGCCCTTGTTGGGCTCTCCCAGGAGCTTCCAGACCTGCCAGAAATCCCAGCTCTGACCGTGCATCCAGCCATGCCCATCACAGTCCAACATGCATTGCTCCATACAGACGTGCATGTGCCTCGACTCTTCACATTTATTTATTTATATTTATTTTTGAGACAGGTTCTTTAGCCTATGGGTTATAGTTTGCCAACCTGCTCTAGACCCAAAGGTGGCTCTAACCTTGGAGAAGAGGAGCGGGAAGTTGGGCCCAGTGCTGCCTGACTCCCTGCTGACTACAGTGTGAGTCCTGGCTTCTTCACGCCCATTGATACTGACCCACATGCCCCTCCCGGTGTCCCACAATGGTTTGAGTTGGTTGAGAGAGGAAAGGAGAGGAAACGGCCAAGATGCAGGAAGGTGGGGGCGTAATAAGCAGTGGTAACAACAGCTCGAAGCATGCACGGTTCTGTGTATTCATGTTAACCCATGTAATCTTTGCAATCATGCTCCCCTTTTACAGATGGGAACACTGAGGCAGAGCAAGTCAATGACTTGCCCAGCATTCTGCAATTAGTTAAGTAACGGAACCAGGTTCCACGCCTGGCAGGTCGGTTCCAGAGCTGCTGCTCTGTCACTGCAGACAGGAGGATCCCTGAGGGGCGGTAAAGGTGGCAGTTGAGGCACTAGCTCTTAACTTAGACCTGAGTTCAAATCCTGCCTGGGCTTCTCACTAGCTGTGTGGCTCCCGTCAAGTGACTGCCTGGTCTCCTGTTTATTTGTACAGGGGTCTCCTGTTTTACCCCCATACAAATAAACAATGCAGCAGTGATGTCCTGATGCAGATCCTTGACGCTTTTCCTGGGTGAAGCGCCTAGATGTGGACTCCCCAGGTGAAAGGATATGTACCCTTTGAAGGCTTTGAAGTGTGTTTCCAAAAGGAGGGATGGGCTGTCAAAGCTCCAGGCTGCTCCACGCTTGCTGCCACCAGGGGGGAGCAGACACCAAGACAAGGATGGCCTGGAAAAGGGGCCGGTGGTTACGTGGGACCGTGGAAACTCCTCCCTCCCTGCTCTCATCCCCCAGCCCTTCCCACTCTCTGGGTGGGCTATGAACTTCCAGGATGGTGGTGAGGTCAGCTTTCAAGACCTGGATTCCTCTAAACCAGCGTCTCAACCTGGGGTCTCAGCATCAGCATCACCTGGAAACTTATCAGAAATGCAAATCCTCTGGCCCCATCTCAGCCTGGCTGAATCAGAAAATCGGAGGGAGGAGCCCAGCCGTCACCTGCCCAGGTGATTTTGATGCAGCCAGAGCTTGAGGATCGCTGCTCTAGACCAGGGGTTGCCTAGTTTTTCTGTAAGCAACTAGGAAATATTTTAGGCCTTGCAGGCCACACAGCATCTATTGCAACTACTCAGCCCTCTTTTTATAACATGAAAACAGCCATGAGCAATATATAAATAAATGAATGTGGCTATGTTCCAATAAGTCTTTATGAACACTAAACTTTGAATTTTACATAATGTTCATGTGTCACAAAATATTTTTCTTTTGTTTTTTTTCAACCATTTAAAAATGTAAAAATCATTCTTAGCTAGCAGGCTGCACACAACAGTTTGTGGGTTATAGTTTGCCAACCTGCTCGAGACCCAAATACGGCTCTAACCTTGGAGAAGAGGAGCAGGAAGATGCTGCCCGACTCCCAAGCCAGTGCTCCTTCCTGTAAGTTCATCTGCCAGATTACAACCTTGGGAAATAGACAGAAAAACTCTCTGGGTCTCACTGCCCTTAACAATAAAATGGGCATTGCAACCTCTGTGCGATCTGAGGCACTGGGTCCCCAATTTTACTGGGCAATGAGATCCCCTGGAAATTTGCTAGTGTCCAGGAGCCATCCCAGGTTCCGATGGTTCTGATTCCATCAGATTAGACAAGATCTGGAGGGGCCTGGAAAGGTGCACTCTGTCTGTATTGATTCCAAAGTGATCCTCCACCTCCAGCCAGGGTGCTGGCTTAATTAATACAAAGGCTTGAATAAGAGTAGGCCCAGCCTCTTCCCCCAGAAATCCAGTGGCTATATGGGAAGAGGAAATGGGAAGCTGACTTTTTGTCTGTCAGTACCTACACAAGATCAGAAATGCAGCAGAGGAAAAAAGCTTAGGGAGCTCAGAGAGACTGGGTTCAAATCCCACCTCTACCACTTCCAAGCTGTGTGTTCTCAAGCTAATTACTTAACCTCTCTGGGTTAGTCTCTTCATCTGTCACATAGGGGTAATAATATTATATTCATTGCAGAAAGTTGATGAGGATTAAATGAAATTCTGTGTGCCAAGCCCTTGGCACACAGAAATTTCCCCACAAGTAGTAGCTGTCGTTATAGTAATGGGTTGTTACTGGAATCAGGGCTATGGTGGTGCAAGGGTTTCCCAAATTTTCACGTACATAAAACTCACCTGGGTCTTGCCAAAATGCAGATTCGAATTCAGTAGGTCTGGGGTAGAGGCCTGAGAATTTGCTTTTCTAATAAGTTGCTGGGAGGCATTGATGCTGCCTGGCTGGCACCATGCTTTAAGTAGCCCGGGTCAGGAGCAGTGGTTCGGCATTTTGACTTGTGATGATGTTGAGTTCTGTCATCCACAGGCTCTGGTTAGCCTAGGGACTGGTAGACGGCAAGTGCTCTGTCATTAACATGTTACTGGTATTGTCGCTGTCGTGCTCATGGTGATGATATTGTGATGGAGAGGATGCGGGAGCTCAAGGTCAGGCAGAGAGAAGGACAAAAGGTGGATCATCATTTCCCCAATGCTGAGCACTGTGGTCTCCCTCCTGGTTTCTCCTCCATGTCCTCGCCTTTCTTGTCTCCTGCTAATCACGGGGCACCAGGTGCCCTGCCTTAAACAACACATACAAACGCACACACACACACACACACACACACACACACACACACACACACGCCCTCCTTCAGAGAAAGCTGCAAGCTGCATTTATTTTTGCACATAGCCAGGAGGCATTCTCATAGACAACCCTGTTGACCAGATGCAGGAGAAAAGCAGGTGTTTGCTCAAGAAACTTAGCAGTCCCCCCTCCGGGGGACACCGGAAGTGAGGGGACCTGGCAGAGCAGGAGGCACCCTGGATGGGAAGTTAAGAGCTCCCAGTTTTAGGCTGGCCTCGGAACCTGACTTACTGTGTGACTTCAGACAAGTCACTACCCCTCTCTGAGCCTCAGACTATCCCACAGAAAGAGGAGGTTACATCAGACTCAACCGGGGAGCTTGTGATACAGTCTTAAGCCCACGCCAAGCCTACTTATTAGGAATGAGGGGAGCTTGGTGATGCCCTCAAGAAAGAGGCAACGAATAAGGACAGGGTCACTGACCAGTGAGAAAGCAGCAGCCCGTCCCTCGATTGCACCCCACTTATCCAGAATCCTCATCTACACAGAACACAGCCAGGACCCAGGAGGGAACAAAGAAGGCTGAAACTGACACCTCACAGCCCAGAGAGCCTGGAAGATTCATGTTTATCAAATGAATGCATGAAAGCATGGCCATATTGGTTAATTAATTAATTGACTGATCGACTCCAGAGACTGTAGGGCCTGGAGACAGATATACATAATAGATGCTCAGTGAATAGCTGCCAAACAGAAGGAAGAAAGGCAAGATGGAAGGACTGTCAAAATTGTGTCCTGCCTGGAAAGATAGGGCCTATAATAATAATGCTTCCTCGGCCCTTGGGACATTTCCAGGGGAAGGCTTGGCATCTGGAAGGAAAGGAAAGCAGGCAGGGAGAAGCCAAACTGAGCATCGTGAACGTGCCCGTCGTACAGAGATGCCCCTGACATCCTCACAGCAGCCCCTGATGTGGGCGTCGTCACCAATGTTCAGAGGCAAGGACCCAGTGGACAACTGAGGCCCGAGAACTCCAGAGAGACCCACCAGGGCTCGGAGAGTGTGCAGGGCTTTACGCACCTCACTTTCTTTCTTTCTTTCTTTTTTGAGACAGAGTCTCACTCTGGCTCCCAGGCTGGAGTGCAGTGGTGCAATCTCGGCTCACTGCAACCTCCGCCTCCTGGGCTCAAGCAATTCTCTTGCCTCAGCCTTCTGAGTGGCTGGGATTGTAGGTGTGTGCCACCATACCTGGCTAATTTTTGTATTTTTAGTAGAGACGGAGTTTCACCATGTTGACCAGGCTGGTCTGGAGCTCCTCGAGTGATCTGCCCACCTCCCTCTCCCAAAGTGCTGGGATTACAGGCATGAGACACCATGCCTGGCCCGTACTTTCTTTGAAGCCTCCCTCCTCATTTCTGTTTACGTCTTCCTGCCTTCCCCTCCCCATTTTCCCATTGCTCTTGCAGATTCTTCTCATTTATGTCTTCTCATCACTTTTTTTTCTTTTGAGACAGGGTCTTGCTCTGTTGTCCAGGCTGGAGTGCAATGGCGTGATCGTGCCTCACTGCAGCCTCAACCTCTTGGCTCAAGTGATCTTCCTTCCTCAGCCTCCCAAGTAGCTGACACCACAGGTGCACACTGCCATGCTTGGCTTATTTTTGTAGAGATGGGGTTTTGCCATGTTGCCCAGGCTGATCTCAAACTCCTGAGCTCAAGCAATCTGCCTGACTCGGCTTCCCAAAGTGCTGAGATTACAGGTGTGAGCCACGGCACCAGCCACATCACATATTTCTTCCTAGAATCTGCCTTACAGCATCTGTGGAGCAAGAGAGGATGTAAACAAGCCAACCAGCAAAAAGAAGGCAGAAGAAGCAAAGCCTGATGCGGCAGGCAGCTCCAGTGTGACAGGCGCCGTGCCAGATGCAGCGTGCAGTTTCCCTCATTGGCTTCTGGCTTCAGCCCCACCAGGTTCATTCCCGCTTTGCCACTTTCTAGCTGGATGACCTTGACAAGCAAGTCGCCTCGACTCTGAGCTTTCATATCCTTGGTTGCAAAATGAAACTCTATCGGCTACTATTGTTACGAGCATTCCATGAGCTAGTGTATGTAAAGCACCCGCCTGGTACATAGTAGGCCCAAAATAAAATCTGGCTGTTATAAAGAAACACAAGGCTGGGCACAGTGGCTCATACCTGTAATTCCAGCACCTCCGGAGGCTAAAGCAGGTGCATCCCTTGAGCCCAGGAGTTCAAGACCAGCCTGGGCAACATAGTGGGACCCTGTATTTACAAAACATAAAAAAATTAGCTGGGTGTGATGGCACACACCTATGTCCCAGCTACTCAGGAGGCTGAGGTGGGAGGCTCTATTGAGCCCAGGAGGTTGAGGCTACAGGGAGCCATGATCACATCACTGCACTCCAGCCCAGGCAACAGAGCAAGACCATGTCTTCAAACAAAACAAAAGAAACACACACCTTCCCAGACACATAGTAGGTCCTCAACAAATGTTAGCATCCTTACCTGTGAAATGTGACTATTGGTTGTTGTGAGGTTCAGATGAGCTACCAAGAGACAAAAATCCTGTGCCCACCTCAGGACAGATATTTCCTTCTCCCGCCTGCCTGGATTTCAGCCACTCCAACAAGCCCTGGCTTCTGCAGAGCTTACAGCGGCCACACGTGAGCCATGCCACAGGGTGGGCCTGTCTGCAGGCTCCAGGCCTTAGTTAGCACATCTCGGGGCAGGCTTCCCCTGCCAGCGCAGGTAGCCACAGGAGAGACAGCTGGGCCCTCGTTAACAAGGTGTCTCCAGACCGTGTTTGGAATACGTCAGCTACTGTGATTAAAGACAGTACGTAAATGTCAGCCTCGCTGGGCCCCAGCCCCAGCTGGTTTCCGGGGAAGGAGACCTGAAAAATATGTCTTCATTCCTTCTGTTTTACAGCTTAGGCCATGATGGCTTTGTACAGAGTGAGTTCACAGTGGTGGAAGCCTGTGCAGGTCCTGCCAGTCATGGGGAGGGGAGAACAGTTTCCCAGTGAGCCCCCAGCCAGGCTGGGCCTGATCATCGAGTGACCTGGAGTCACTTTTCCCCTTCAGAGCCTCGGTTTCCTCATCTACAAAATGGGACAATGATATATGTGCCCACGGATTCTTAAGAAGAGAAAGATCGGTCGGGCATGGTGGCTCACGCCTATAATCCTAGCACTTTGAGAGGCCGAGGTGGGTGGAGTCAGGAGGTCAGGAGTTCGAGACCAGCCTCCTAAATAACATGGTGAAACCCCATCTCTAAGAAAAAAAGATCAAGATCACCTTTGTAAGCTGGGGTCTGTCAACCAGAGCAGGCACTCACTGCAACCAGGAAATCACAAAAAGGGGCACACTAGGGCATGGAGCTGCCCACTTTGTAGACCCAGGTGCTCAATGAATGGCCCTTTCCTTGGATCCAAGTGGAGAGAGACTTTGACATCCTCAGTGAAACCACACTGAAAGAAGGTCACTGGGGGCAAAGGAAGCTACAGGAGCACTGGTCCCAGAGTCGCTGACACTGTGTGATCTCAGATAAGTGACTCCACTCTCAAACTGGGTTTCCTCATCCGTAAAATCCCTGGGCTGGCTGGGCTCTTCCTTTTGGAGCACTGTGATGAAGCCAAAGCCTGGCCTCAGCTTCCCAATCTGTAAAATGAGGGGACTGCGCCAGATGGTCTCTGGCTCATCTCAGCTCAGGCATATGGAATTTTTTTCCAGGAAGTGAAACAATGGCCAGGACTAGGCTGTGTAGAAAAGGGAGATGTAATGATTGACGAAGGGCAGAATCCCAGAAGAAGCCATTCTGGAGTTACGTACCTGAGGTCACCACAGTGCGTGGGTGACTCTGAGACCAGTGCTCCTACCATTCCTATGGCAGGAGAAGCCCTTGATGCTGTTGGAGTCCCCCAGGAAGGCAGAAAGATAAACCCAGGGAGTGAGCTCACCATGCTGCAACAAAGGACAGCCTGGGAGACCTGCCACAGGCCCAGTGGCAGGATGAGGGCAGCGGAGGGGACCAGAGATGCCTTTTCACAAATTGCTTCTGAACCTCAGAAGAAGAGAACAGCCTCACACCAGCCACGCGCCTCCTTTGTTCCAAACATTTTACACATCTTCACTTGTTTAATCCCCATGAGGCAGGTACTATTGTGATGCCCATTTCACAAATACGGAAACTGAGGTATAGGAAAGTAATTTGGCCAAGTCCTCACAGCTAGTTTGCGGCAGAGCTGGGACATGGACTAAAACATGGCACCGAAGCCACTCTTTTGAAGTATCAGTGATGAAGAGCACCTTTTAATGAGTACCGACTACGTAACAGGCATTGTGCTGGCTTCCTTACAGGATGGTCTTCATTAACTGGGACAGCATTCTTATGAGGACAGCACTTTGTTACTCACCTTTCATAGAGGAAGAAATGGAGGTCCAGAGAAGCGAAGCACCTGCCCTTGGCCACAGAGCCGGACTGTGGCTGAGCTGGGAGGCTGACCCAGGGCCCAGGCCCCTTCCACACCACAAGGCTGGACAGGACCCCTTCTGAGAAACTCTGAGTAGAGGCTAAAGCAAGTGTCAGGAGCCAGGACACAGCTATGTCTTGTGCAGATTGGTATGAACATCTGTCAGGTGGTCCTGAGACAAGAAAAAGAGTCCAGGACACAGCAGGGTGGTGGGGCTGACAGCCATCCCTGTCAGCCTGCCACCCCTGCTCCTGCGTTATGAGAACCTATGAAGGATGTCTGGGGGCTTTGAGGGGCTCTGGGGGCCTCAAGGGGCTTCAAGGGGCTCTGGCAAGCTTCACACACATCAGAGTCATGAGGGCAGGTCCTTTGACGGAGGGCCTGCTGTGTCCCGGGCACTGTATTAAGTACTTTGTATTCATTCTTGCCCACTTCTTACTGTGGCAGGAATGGCACAGGTATCATTGTCATCCCCATTTCATGCATAAGGAACCGAGGCTCACACAGGTGGAGTCACTAGTCCAGGGTCACATCGCTAGCAAGAAGCAAACTCAGGTCCCCTGGTCTCAAAGCCAGTGCCTTTTCAACAGGCTACCCCTTCCCTCCCAGGTTCGAAGGGCTCAAGCCATCCAAACTGCATGGCTCAGGATCTGGCGCATGGGGCCACGCCCCTTCCTAGCTTCATTCCAGGACCCTGAAAGGGTTAACTTCTCTGTGGCCCCGGGTCCATCCCTGTCAGCCTGCCACCCCTGCCCCTACGTTATGAGGACCAGACCAGCTCTCGCTCCGGGCAGCTGATGAGTTCTCTGCTCAGTGGTTCGCGCTCCAGATATTAAATTACTCATAAAATACTTGGCCTGTCCCCAAAGTGGCGGCTGCCTCCTCCCTGTGCCCACCGCTCACTTCGCAACAGAAGGTCACGCTCTTCCATGGGGGAGGGGCCCTGGAAAATGAACCCAACTTCATCTTGGGGGATCTGGGAGCCCAAGAAGGGGAAGGCTCTGGTGGGGTTGGGATATTCCAAGGGCAAGGATTCTGTCCCTGATTCTGGGGCCCTCCAACCTGGCCTGAGCCGAGGACTATGCCCCCAAATCCCCATGCTGCAGGGTACAAGCAGGGTACAAAGAGCCCAGAACTGCTGACTGCCCCAAGTCCCTCAGGAAAAGGCCAAGGGTGACCTGGAATAGGTTCCCATTGTCTGAGGGACGAGTGGTCTCTCCTCCCCTCCTCCCTCCCCTCCTCAGTTGCCATGGCAACCACAGTGGGAGGTGGGAGGCTGGACCATTCAGCTCCTGGCCAAGCTACCCGGCATGCTCTGCTTTCACCCAGTTTTCTCCCTCACTGCCCCTTGGCAGGCAGGGGGTGGGGCAGACCCAGCCCTTTCACTGGTCAGCAGAGGGTTTGCAGCCAAGGGGCATCACCTCCAGTCCCCTGCCTTAGGCAGGAGGTTATCCGGCACAGCCCCCAGGAATGGGACCTTTCTGAGTGTGGCTTATCAGAGTATGATTTTGGGGAGTGCTCTCTCTCAAGCCCCCCTGGAGTTAATGAAGTCAGTTAAGCCCTGGGATTAGAAGGTCGGGGTCATGGGTACAGCCCATGTTTGCAGAGTAACACCCCATCCCACCCCTAGCTCCCACCAGCTGTTTCAGAAATGCCTAATGCTGGTCGTCTAGGGAACTGGTGAGAGGGTCTGGACAGGACGTGGCAGCCTCACCCTGAGTCCCCACAATCATAGTTCCTCAGTGCATACACCCGCGGCCTGGGCATCGGGAGCCTCCTCTCTGTCTTCCTGCAACCCCGTAGAGGACACATTTTTTGTAATAGTAGTGTACATATTACTAGTAAGTTCTTGTCACCCTGGCCTGGAGTTTCATAAATGTAATACTGAAAGAAACTGGGGTTAGCCTTTGTCATGGCTCTACTTGGGGTACACTGCCACCAGGTGGCGGTAGTCACTGTCCAAGTATTCCCTGAGATTCCAGAAAATGATTTTCCACTTTTACATCCCACCACCATAATCTATAAAATGCCATTGCTTTCTTATTTTTATATTAAAACTACAGGACTTTAAAATAGCTGAAGTGAACCAGGCTTTAAACAAACTCTATGTTTTGGTGGTAGAGCATAGCAGATAGCAAAACTCTAGAGTCAAATGGCCTGACTTCAAATCCTGGCTCAGCCGCTTGCTAGCTGTTTAACCTTGGACAAGTTACTTCTCTGTGCGTCGGTTTCTTTATCTGCAAAATGGAGATGATAGAAAGCAACTCCCTCAATGCATCGTTTTAAAGACTCAATGAGCAAATGTACACGAAGCATTTAGAACAGTGCCCGGCACAAAGCATTAAGCTCTGTAAAAATGTTGGTTATCAATATTTAAAGATGAACATAGGAAAAGTTTCAAAAACAATTCATATTGAGACCCACAGACATATCTTTCTCTACTTGGTCTTTCATCTAGTCTGTCTTTCTTTCTTTGTTTTTGAGATAGAGTCTTGCTCTACTGCCAAGGCTGGAGTGCAGTGGCACAATCTTGGCTCACTGTAACCTCCACCTCCTGGGTTCAAGCGATTCTCTTGCCTCAGTCTCCCAAGTAGCTGGGATTACAGACATGTACCACCACACCTGGCTAATTTTTTTTTTTTTTTTCTTGTATTTTAGGTAGAGATGGGGTTTCACTATGTCAGCGAGGCTGGTCTTGAACTCCTGACCTTGTGATCTGCCCACCTCCGCCTCCCAATGTGCTTATTTCTAATCTGGTGATTCATTTTAGTGCTGCACTGCTAGACACCCATCATCTGCCCAGATGCCTCCTCCAGCTCCCTCAACACCACATTCAAGCCCATATCCTGACGCCTTCACCTCCTGGGTGTCTGTGGGATCGTCCCCTGCATTCCCTGTGCACGGCCACCCTGATCTCATTCCTGAACCACTGCAACCGTCCCCCTGCCTCTTGCCTGTTCCCCTCCAACCAATTTTCTCACCGCTGCCACAGTGATTTTTCTTTTTCTTTCTTTCTTTTTCTTTTTTGTGAGATGGAGTCTCACTCTGTTGCTCAGGCTGGAAGTACAATCTTGGCTCACTGCAACCTCTGCCTCCCAGGTTCAAGCGATTCTACTGCCTCAGCCTCTGGAGTAGCTGGGACTACAGGCTCCTGCCACCATACCTGGCTAATTTTTGTATTTCTAGTAGAGATGGGGTTTCACTATATTGACCAGGCTGGTTTTGAACTCCTGATCTTGTGATCCGCCCACTCCCAAAGTGCTGGGATTACAGGCATGAGCCACTGCACCTGGCTGGCAGTGATTTTTCTAAAACAAAAATATACCTATACTCAAATGCCCTCCATGACTCCCCAGTGACTCAGTATCAAACCCCGGCGATTCAACTAGGTCCTCTCCCTGTCTCCCACTCCAGCCTCATCTCCCCATCTCCACTGCCAGAATGCCATGCCCCTGCGCCAACTGCCTCCTTGCAGTTCACCCAAAGCCCTGGGCTCCCAAGTGCTGCAGCCTGAGCAGGGGCTACCTCCTCTGCCTGCCCAGCTCCTGCCTGCTCAGCCTCAAGATGTGACCCCCATCTCCTCTTCCCTGGGAAGCACTTCACAATCCCTCCATGGCCTCTGGACCAGGTGCAGACCTTTCTTGGCAAGCCCCAAGCCTCCGCATGCTAGAAAGGGCCTTTCTCATTTCACTGGTAACACCAGAGATGCCCTGTGTACAGCAAGCCCTTGGAGAATCTCTGGGGAATGAATCCAGAATGTCCACTTCGCCTATTCAGCCTGCAGTGTCATCTTTCCCATCTGTTCTGTCCCAGCATCTCCTTCTAGGCCTGGCTCAAATGTCACCTCTTCAGGAGCCTCCTGGTAACCCTCACCCCATGTCATCCCCACATGGACTATTTCACTCTCTCCTCAAACAGGTAAATGCAAATGAACTTGACACGTGCTGAATGAATGAACAGGATTATGGTCTAGACCAATGATTCTCAGCAGGGGTTGTCTCCCTGCCAGGGGACATTTGGCAATGTCTGGAGACCTTTTTGGGGTCACAGGGGTGCTGCTGAGATCTGGTGGTGGAGACCAGGGATGTTGTAACACCTCCTGTAATACACAGGACACCCCCCAACCAGGAGTTGTCTACCCCAAATGTCACTTTCTCAAAGCTGAGAAACTGGTCCTGAGCCTGTTGCCTGCAAATCTGTCTTCCTAGTACCAAGAGGGCCCCAGGCGCCGAGGCTGATCTTATTTCTCCTGGTTTTCTCAGTACCCACCGCACAGCAGCCACGCAACAACTTTTTAAAATAAGCTCCTGGGTGACATAATTCCTGTCCTTTCCCTCTCCCAGCTTCCACCTCTCACGCAGAGCTTGGCCTCAAATTATCGTCAGATGCCCCTTCTGGGACTGTTCTTTGGTCCCGAGGCTTCAACTGGCTAAGTCCCTCCACTGTCGAGGCCCTCAACCTTCTCAGATTCTCCTGGTCCTCACAGCCAGGTGGAATGAACAGGGGGGAAAGAGAGACCACAGTTCCCAGAGAGCAGGAGCTTCGCTGGGCGCTGGGGACCCTAGGAGTGAGTCCTGGCTGGTGACTCACTTGCTGTGTGACTTGCCTGAGTCATAGACCTGTCTAGGCCTCGAGCTCTCAGTGAGGTGATGGGGGCTTGCAGACAGATCCTCTCTGGACTGGCACCATCTAAAGGACTGCCCCAGCAGTGCCCCCACTCCCAGCACCTCTCCTGCATGCGAGAGTGCTTCCTGTGAAATCCTGGGAGGCGGGGAGGAGACAAGGACCCCCGTCTTTCCCCAGCGTGGGTGCTCCAGGTGCTCCCGGCTCTCCCGCTCACTGGGGTGCCACTGTCTCCAAGGGCGCCGCTGTCAGCTGTGACCCCTGCGTCCCCAGAGGCGGCCAAACAAGCGGCCTTTGTGGTCTGTGCATCGGCGGCCCTCGGGGAGCGTCACAAAGGGTGGGAAGAAAGGCCGCCAATCCTCTTAGGGACAGCCGCCGCGCTTTCCCACTGCGGCCCATCTGCTCCTGGGGAGCCGCATAACCGCCGCCTGGCCCCACCGCGAGCAAAGCAAGCAAAAGCTGCCCAGGAATGAAAGGCAGGGGCCCGGGCAGCCCAGATCCCCACGGCAAACACAGGCCTGGCCGGGGGCCTGGGAGGGGGCAGGGCTGATCCCCGGGGGAGACCGTGGTTAAAAGCACCGCCCCAGGAGGGGGACCCAGGGCTAATCCCCTCCTGTCCCAGGCCTTCCCTTCCCACACCCGTACAAGGGGAAGGGGAGAGGCGGGGAAGGGCTGGGATCAAAGGTCCTTCCTCCTGTGCCAGGCGCTCAGTGGGGCCCTTTCTACGCACCACTGTCTTTTTCTTGAAGCACCCTATTTTACAAAGTGGCTCAGCAAGACTAAGTCACTTGCCCAGGATCACCCAGCTGTGATGTAGCAGAGCTGGGTCTCAGCTGGAGGCTGAATCTGAACTCTTCCTTCCGCATAGCTGAAGTTTGCTGAGCCTTTCCATGCCAGGGGTTCTACAACCATCTCCGTTTCTTACTGCAACTCTTACAGATGGGGAAATTGAGGTCACAGGCAGGTGGTGGTGATAGCCCAAGAGCACAGACTCGACAGAGTCCTGGCTCTACCATCCCCTGCATTCTGGTCACAACGCCATCACTCATGTGCAGCCTTGGGCTTGTCCAGCCCCCAGCGTGGGCCCTCAGACCAGTCACTTCACCCCCAGAGCCTCGATTTCCTCCTTTGGAAAGTGGGGATCTGTGAAGGGCGTAGTTCTGAGGGTTTGATGAGACGATCTTCTCAAGACTTTAGCTCCAGGCCCGGCACACAGTAGGCACCCAATGACGGCAGCTGCTATTGGTATTACTTGGCCCAGAGCAGGATGGATCCCAGAACAGGAAGAGAAGGAAACAAAGACTTTCCGCCCACTAATGGCTGGCCCCAAACATTTCTTTTTGCCACTGTCGGGGTTGGCTTGGCATAGTAAGGAAGGAGCTGGAGAGAGTGGGAGGGAGGCATTGGATGTGTGGGAGGCGCAGCTGGGCCCCAGGCTGGATCCACCCAGGGAAGGGGCTATTGACCAGCTGCCCCACCTTCCACTCATGAGAGGCCTAGAGTCCAGGCGTGGTGGCACCCAGATCATCAGAGCCCAAATGCTGCCTCTTACACACACACACACACACACGTGTGCACACACACATATGCACATACAAAAATACATACACACATAACCACACACATGCATGCACACCCCACACACAGACACACATACACATTTGCACACAGACATCATTCACACACATACACACACACACCACACTCAAATACATACACACATGCAGATACATATACATACATACACACATGCACAAACATACAAATACACACTCTCACACACAATGACACACATACACACACACATCCCCCCACAGAGACACACACATATAGACATGCACACACACATACACACAGACATAAACTCACACACACCAAATACAAATACACAAATGCACATACATATACACACATACACACACAACCACATACAAATCCCCCTACAGAGACACACACATACACAGACACACACACAAACCACACATACATGCACATACACATGTACACACATACACTCACACACCCATACACATAACCACATATATGCACAGCCCACTAAAGAGACACACACATACACACATGCACACACACACAGATACACACACCCTCACACACACAGATGCACGCAGCCCCAGCTCTGGTCATTTTGCAGATTTGGAGCCTGAGGCTCAGGAGAGGGGCCGTGGCTCACTAAAGATCACTCAGCTCCTGAGCGTGGCCCAGGCCCCCAGTCACCCTCTTCCATCCTTCAATGGGATCTGGCCCTGAATCCCACCAGCCTGGCTCCATCCCTTGTCCACCAAGGGGCCACGCAGGGGACAAGGGCAGGGGACAAGGAGGCGAGGGTCCTCATGCTCCTGTCAAGCCGACTGAGTTAGCCACTCTGCCTTCAGCATTCCCCTAGATCTGGAAATGGGTTCTGCCCAGAACATGAAAATGAATCCATCATTCATTCTCTCTTTTCTCTTCCCGTCCTCCCTCTCTCCCTCCCTCCTTCCCTCCATCTTTTCCCCCTGCTTTCCCTCTCTTTCTCTTTTTTTTTTTTTTTTTTTGAGACGGAGTTTCGCTCTTGTTACCCAGGCTGGAGTGCAATGGTGCAGTCTCGGCTCACTGCCACCTCCGCCTCCTGGGTTCAGGCAATTCTCTTGCCTCCGCTTCCTGAGTAGCTGGGATTACAGGCAGGCGCCACCATGCCCGGCTAATTTTTTGTATTTTTTAGTAGAGATGGGGTTTCACCATGTTGACCAGGATGGTCTCGATCTCTTGACCTCGTGATCCACCCGCCTCAGCCTCCCAAAGTGCTGGGATTACAGGCTTGAACCACCGCACCTGGCCTCTTTCTCTTTTTTTTAATCTTAATGTCTCTTTTAATCTCTCTCATAGTCACCGGCTTTCCCTTTCCAGCTGCTGCTCCCTACCCCAACTCTTGCTCATGACACTGTTCCCAGGGAACCTGACTGTGTGGCTTTGAGTCTGTTTCTGTTCCCTTCCAGGTACCAGGTACCTGCTGGGGGCTTCCCCCACTGACAGGCCCCCCTCTGGGATATGGGGGCACAGTTAGTGCAAGGTAGGCCACGGTTTGGGGTCAGTTCCAGCCCTGTCACCTCCTTTTCTTCTCCGAGTCTTCCTCTGTGTGTGCAGCGGGCACATGTGAAGAACCTGGCCTCCACGAATGCCCTGTCCCCAAGAACCAGACCCACGGAGCCATTTGAGGGATTGCATCAGAACTGCATTCACCTTTGAAAATGGTTCTTCCTCCAAGTGTCTGACCTGCCCAAAGTTCTAGGACTCCGCCTTCCCAGAGCAGAGCAGGGCAGAGCCGGCCTGGGGGTCCTGACTTGGACTGACTCCAAGACATCACCAGTAGACCACAGCCTTCTCTGTTAACCTTGACCTTTGAGGGTGAGAAGTCACAGAAATAAGCGAGACCAGGAGTCAGACAACCTGGGTTCTAATGTCCCCTCGGCTTCATGCCTGAATGAGGGTGTGGAGAAGTCACTTCACCTCTCCTGGCCTCATTGTCCCTCATTAGGGAACTGGAGCTAATGGCTGATTTGTGCTTGAAATTAAAGAAAGGGAGGTTACCAAAGAAACTGGCACAAAGGTGGCATTTTGCTGAATTCACGGATCAGCTAATTTATGGACCACAGTCTGTCTGCTCTACCCAGGCCCTTTCTACTTAGGGGGAAACTGAGGCTGGGAGAAGGGAGGCAGCTGCCCAGGGCTTGGCAGCGAGTGGCAGCAGTGCCCAGACTTGAATTCTAGCCGGATGCCCAGCAGTTCATCAGTGCAGTCTATCAAAGACAGCCGATTCCAGAAGGGAGATCAAAGGCCTGCTTCCTTATTTACAAAGAGAAGCCCTCATTAAAACATGGCCAACGGCTGAGACACTGGATATGGGCCACGGGTGCCCGACAGACAATTCACCGATCCCAAACAGACTGTGCAAGCGGCAAGGGAGCCATTCGGCAAGTCTGTCCTGGGGAGAGGCAGCCCGAGGGTGGGGGTAGTCAGGGAAGGCTTCCTGCAGGAGGACTGGGCTCAGGCCAGCCTCACAGGGAAGATGAGACATCCAAGGAGAATTGACCACACCTACCTTTTGTTGTTTTGGTTTTTTTTTTTTTGAAACAGTCTTGCCGTGTTGCCAAGGCTATAGTGCAATGGTGCTACCCCAGCCCACCACAACCTCTGCCTCCCAGATTCAAGTGAGTCTTCAGCCTCAGACTCCTGAGTAACTGGGAGTACAGTGTGTACCACCATGCCAGGCTAATTTTTGTATTTTTAGTAGAGACGGGGTTTCTGCATATTGGCCAGGCTGGTCTCAAACTCCTGGCCTCAAGTGATCCACCCATCTCAGCTTCCCAAAGTGCTGGGATTCCAGGTATGAGCCACCACGCCCGGCCCACAGCTACCCTTTGTTGAGCACCTACTGCATGCCAGGCACTGACAGTAACTCTGAGAGGCTGGGATCCTGTCCCCGTTTTCCAGGGGAGGAAACTGAGAGGCACAGGGCCTGCTGGGGGGATGCCACAGGGCAAGCCAGACCCCACTGAACCCAGCTCTGGGATCTCTGTACCTCTCAGCTTGTCACCACTGGGTTACACTGCCCTTTCAAGGATAACGTGAGCCACTGTGCGTCTTGGGGGGGGGAACATGGTCTGTCACCAGAGTCATTTGTCAAAAGCAAAATGTCTGGGAAGTGGGCTGGAGGGGCAGGAGGAGGGCCTGACTGGAACAGCAGGTTGGGGCTAGACTAGACAGACCCTCCCAGCACACAGGGCCCAGGGTTCTGTGATCCAACTGAATCCTTTGTGAGCATCTACAATGCAACAGGTACTGTGCCAGACATGAGGCGCAGAGCAGCGACACAAACAGATGGCACCTGACCTTATGGAGCGGATCCCTTGAGGAGAAGGATGAAGAGTAAATCCATAAATAAATGCGATCATTTCTCATTCAGATGTTATCAGTGTCCCAGGGCTGCCGCAGTAAGATAACACAAACCAGGTGGCTGAAAACAGCAGGAATGGATTGTCTCCGGTTGCGGAGGCTGGATGCCTGGAATCAAGGCCTGGAAGGGCCCTGCTTCCTCTGAGGATGTGTGGAAGAATCCTCCTGTCTTTTCCAGCTTCTGGCGGCCCAGCATTCCTCAGCTGGTGGCGGAATAGTTCATACCTCAGCCTCTGTCTTCAGGCGGCCTCTTCCCTGTGTCCTCTCCTCTTCTTAGAAAGACATCCCATTTTACAGAGGAGGAAACTGAGACTTGGACAGGAGAAATAACTCACCCAAGGTCGCACAGCCAAGGAGTGGAAGGCCAAGATGGGAAGCCAACTGTGACTGATCCCCAAGTGCCGTGTGGGTGCCTGGACTCTGTACTCCATGTAAGAGGAGTCTGGCTGCTTATCACTCCCAGGCCAGGAACACTCTTGGCCGTGGGGGCCTCTCACTGGCCAGGGTCCAGCCCCTTCTCCTGGCAGCAGTCTCCTGATTTCCTGTGGGGACCTCCTATTCCCACTCGCTGTCTGTGCAATTTGGGAGGGCCTGACGCTGCTCCTCACCCGCACCCCCACCCCACTCTAAGACTCTAAGGCATGCCTGTCCACTCAACACAGTCCATTCTCCTCTGGCCATGGCAACTGGTTCAAAAATGGACATGAGATTCATGTCAGGCCAACAGGAGTTTATCCAGGAATTTCATGGGAGAATATTATTTTTAAAAGAGCCCTCTTTTTGTTGGGCTTTCTAGCAGAAAGGCCTTTTGTCAATACATGGGGAGAGAATCCTTGCAGACAAAGCCCTTGGAGAGGAAAACAGAGGCAAGAGATGGAGGACTGATGACATCACTTGAGAACCTGGATCCAGCCATGCCTGAAGCTCACTCTTGGTCATTTCAGGGATGTGCATCCATAAACTCCATTTATTTACTTGGTGTCCTGACTTAACCCATTTTCTTATCTGGAAAACTCTGAGAAAGGCAGTATGAGCCACTCTTAGATGACAAGTGCACAACTTCACGCCCTGCCTACCTTCCCTGCTGGACCAATAACCTTCACGCCAGTCACAGGCATCATTAGCCAATAACAATGGTAAAGAAGACTTAAATATGAGCTCCTCAGGCTGGGCACGGTGGCTCACACCTATAATCCCAGCACTTTGGGAGGCCGAGGCAGGCAGATCACTGAGGTCAGGAGTTTGAGACCGGCCAATGTGGTGAAACCCCATCTCTACTAAAAATGCAAAAATTAGCTGTGTGTGGTGGCACTGCTCCTCCCACTCACTCCCCCTCCCACTCTAAGACTCTAAGGCACGCCTGGCCTTAGGCACGCCTGTAATCCCAGCTACTCAGGAGGCTGAGGTAGGAGAATTGCTTGAACCCAGGGGATGGAGGTTGCAGTGAGTCAAGATCATGCCACTGCACTCCAGTCTGGGCAACAGAATGAGACTTCATCTCAAAAAAAAAAAAAACAGTGCTCCTTTTCCCCTGATTCTCTGCCTAGTAAACTCCTATTCATCCTTCAAAGTCCAGCAGAGAATGTCACCTGTATTGTCAAGAAATTCCCTGAAAGTTTGCTGCTCCTCCTCTGCCTTCTTGTAACTCACCATGCTGTTCTCCCTGGTGGCAGGGAGTGGGGGACCTCATAGCACTCTGCATTGTGAGGTCCACCTTGGAGGCTCTGAGCTCCTTTGAATCAGGCATCGTGCCTCATTCATTCATTCATTCATTCATTCAACAAATATTACTCAGAGCTCTGAGTCTCTACTCTGAGTCTCAGGGCTCAGTGTTGTGTGCTGGGGGAAAGACAGACTTTCCCTTCATGCAGCTTTCCATTGATCTAGAGAAACTGATGAGAAAACAGTTAAAATCATGTGTGACATGATGATGGGGAAGTAAGTACAGGGACCATGGAAATGCAGGAGCCAAAGGGTGGGGCTATACACCGGTTTTGGGGGAGAGAGGCCAGGGGACTACCAGGCAGAGTGTACAGAGGCTGAGAGCCAACAAATCCATGGCACATCCATGAATGCAAAAAAATTCAGATGGCCTGGATTAGAGAGGGTGGCTAAGGCAGGCAGGGCCAGACCAGGCCAAGTAGCTCAGATTCATCCTGCGAACTTTGGACAGCTGCTGAAGGTTGTGAGTAGCAGAGAGATGTGGCAGAGACCACATTAGTCCCGATGTGGAGATGGGCTGTGGCCAAACCTGAGCAGAAGCCAGCTGGAGCCACAGCAGGGCTCAGGCGGCTTGGACTGCAGGGTGGCAGAGGTGGAAAGAGTGGAGTGGCAGGAGCTGGTAACTGGGTGGAAGGAGCAGTGTAGGGGAGGGGAAGGCACCAGGGGATACCCAGGTTCCCATCCTTTGCAAGCAAGAGGTTGGTGGGACATCCCTGAGAGCGGGGACATGGGGCAGAAGCTTATCATTCTGGTGGGGTGGCCAGGGAAGGGGGTTCAGTTTGGGCATGTGGGCTTTGAGGAGCCCGTGGTACCTCCAGATGGAGATGTGGATCCATCTCTGTGTTCATACCTTTCCAGGCCCCAATGCCTGGCTCTTGGCACTGGTAAAGTCCCACCCACTCTGCAGCGCCCTGGCTCTCGCTTGGTCCCTCGCCTTTCCATGCCAGTCACAGGGCACCCCCGCAGCTCTCTGAAGAAGCCACGTCTCCCCGACCTTCTCATGGCCTTCACATACGCTGTTTCCTCTACGCTTTCCGCTTGGACCCTCTTTGCCTGGCTAATTATGTGCTATATGGCATCTCCTCCAGGAAGCCTTCCTGACATCTCCCAGCTGGGAGAAGGCACACCTCAGAGCTCCCTCAGCCCTTTCTGTGGCTGCCACCATAGGCCTTCCCAGTGTGGTATGGCACTCCTAAGTCACATTAGCAGAGTACAGCAGTTAAGCATCATGCTCTGGGGACAGGCTGTCTGTGTTCAAACCCTGAGAAAACCAGTTGACCTCTCTGTCCCTCCATTCTTCATCCACAGAAAGGGGATAACAATAGTCCTTATATCTCAGAATTTGCTGTGAGACCTAAGTAATTAAGCCACATAAGGAATGGTACCTGGTGCCTAGTAAGTTTTCGCTATTAGCTGCTATCATGGGTCCCTGCTTATCTCACCCAAGGGTCTTGGGGGTCGTTGTGGACCAGTTCTTCCCCAGAAAACAGCATGAGGCTAGCACAGGGGCAGAGCCCACCCAATTGCCTGAGGAAGGATCAGGGCAACCTGAGATTGACTTTATTCCACCCAAATCCAACAAAAGAGCTGCATAGAACAGTATCAGCGCAGAGGGCTGGGGTCAGGCCCATGGCTTGGTGTTGGGAGGATGCACATGGCGATTGTCTGACCCAGCACCTGCCTCTGCCTGGCTAGGCATCCAAATTCTCAAAGCACACCAGAGACTCACAGATGGAGAGGACCCACTCTCGTTCCTTTCTCGCTGAGGCCCTGGATGCTTCTCCCCTGAGTATTTCCCACCCCGGGCTGGGTACATCACACACCACAGCATCATCTCCTAGCCCCGGGGCCTCCAGCCCATTCCTCTGTCCCTGTCCCCAGTTCCCCTTCAGGCTGAGCCCTGGTGGGGCCCCTCCTTGGCTGCTCCTCCTGGAAACTGGCTTGGATTATGCAGCGTGTTTTGCTCAGCAAGGCTGGGAGGAGACAGACCGTCCCATCCTCCCATGGCAGCCCCTGCCTGGCTGGCGCACAGCTCCCAGGCCACACTCTCCCTCCCATCCCCCTTAAAGCCCTTCGCTCCTGGTCCTGACAGCTCTGTCCTCAGCGACATTTCTCCCTCCTACACAAATTCATTCCCTCCTCTGCCCAGGCCTGTCTCTGGACACTGTACGTGGGAGCCCACAGACACTTCAAACCCAGTACATTCCCGTTTATCATCTCTTCCCCAGACCTACTCCCTGACTACAGCCCTGTCTTGGCAGCCAGCAGCAGGCACCCAGGCCCTGCCTCACAGCCCACTGCCCTCTCTCAAACCTGCTCCTGCTCTCCTGCGCCCCAGCTCCCATCCCCTCCCTAAAAGCTGCCTCCTCACCAGCCTCACCGCCTCCTGGATTTCCCCTCATCCAATTCATCTTTCTCAGAGTGTGGCCAGGTCCCCAAGACCTTAACAGGGAATTTCCAAGGTCAAACTTTTCAAAATCATAAGCCAGACATAAAAGAGATCAGCAAAAATGTGAAACAGTGGTACTCTGTCCACTGAACACTTTTCTTTGGGAAAATATTGTTATTTATATGATAATATAAAAGATATTATTCACTTAAACATGGAATGCATTTGTTATTATTTGGAAATGAATTTACAGATTAAAATGGTCACAGTTTCTCAGCCTTAATTTTCAATCCATGTAAATATCATGTTCATGGAATGTGTCAATAAGCCATATAAGTCATGGTCCTTCCTCAAGAAGTTTTGAAGAGTATATAAGGATCCTGACAGCAGAAAGTTTGAGAATTGCTGTTCTAGAATTGATCATCAGAGGCATAGGTTGTGAGGACCAAGGTCTTATCTGTCTTATTCTCAATCAGGGCTAGGGCTGGGCCTGGCACTCAGCATAGTAAGCTCTGGCACTCAACATACATTTGTTGAGCAAATAAATGAAGATATCGCTCTACCCACCCAAACCCTTCCTTGACTCCTCACCATGCACCGGATTCAGTCCAAGCCCCATGGCCTTTTTAAAGTTCCCTGAAGGTGCCCATTCTGTCCCTCTGCCCCAAATACCTTCCTTGTCCTTCTTGACCTGACTATGAGAGTCTAGCATTGCTTCCTCCAGGAAGCTACCCAGATGCCTCTCCTCTGAGTTGGATGCCCCTCTGTGCTCCCATCATTCTCACACTGTCCTCTGTCAAAGTACTTCAGAGCACCTGTCACCCTCTATTGAAATGGTCTGTTTTGGTGTGTTTCCCCCAGAAGACTGCAAGCTCTACGCTGGTCTCTGCATCCCCACCCCTGGCATGGAGCCTAACATGGAGTAGGTGCTCAGTGAATTCTGGAGCTTAATGAGGAGCCTGTGACAGGTGGACAGATAGTGGTGGGTCCAGGATTTCTACATAGAGGAGATTTAAGGCAGCTATCTTGCTAGAAGTCCTGTTGGATAGCTAAGGAATTCACTGAAGTTGTAGTGACTCAGATAGGTTAAGCCATATGAACTCTCTGAACCTCAGCTTGCTTACTTGTGAGATGGGGTTAATGAC